TCTTCTGTTCCTCTTCCATTGCTTTCTTTTTCATTGAGTGAACACTTTCTAGTTTAACATTTGAGTTTCTTTAATGATTGCTTTACTATTTTGTTGTTGTTGCTGTTGTTTGTTTGCATTTAGAGATAGGCTCTGGTGCTGTCACCCAGGCTGGAATGCAGTGACAATCTTAACTCACTACAGCCTCAGTTCCAGTAATTCTCCTGACTCAGCCTACCATAGTGTGGGAATTACAGGAATGAGCCATTGTACTCAGCCTTGCTTTACTATATTTTTTATTTTCTTAGTGGTTGCTCTAAGGCTTACAATATACATTTTGTCACAAGATATTTCATATTTATACTAATTTCACTCCAGTGAAACATATAAATGTAACTTCCATATCCCTCCTGGCCTTTTTGTGCTATTATTATTATACATATAACATCTACAGAGTGTCCCAAAAGTCGATGTACATAAGGAAAATGGGAAATTGTAATTAAATGTATTTTTATTTAGAAAATACTGTTATAAAATTTTATAAAATATTTACAAAATATTCTCTATGTGTTGCCCACCTCTTTCTATACACACACAAAGTCTTCTCCCCTACTCACTGCAAAAACATTCTAAAATATATGTTATAATTTTCCCTATATATGGAGACCTTTTTTGAAAAATATTACTTTATTTTTTTACTCAAATTGTCCCAGCTTTGGGAATTAGTAGCTCTTTCAGTTGCCTGTTGTCTCCTTATTTATTTATCTATTATTTTATTTATTTATTTATTGCAGTTTTTGACTGGGGCCGGGTTTGAACCCACCACCTCTGGTATATAAGGAAAATGGGAAATTGCTGGCACCCTACTCCTTTGAACCACAGGCACTGACCTTTATTTATTTATTTATTTATTTCGAGACAGAGACTCACTTCATCGCCCCTGGTAGAGTGTCGTGCGGGGCTCAAGCAACTTTCTTGCCTCACCCTCCTGAGTAGCTGGGACTACAGGTGCCAACTACAACGCCCAGCTATTTATACAGGTGGGGTCTTGCTCTAGCTCAAGCTGGTTTGGAACTCACGTGCTCAGGTAATCCGCCCACCTAGCCTCCCAGAGTGCTGAGATTATAGTCGTGAGCCACCATGCCCGGCCCTGTATGGAGACTTTTGGAACACCCTGTATATATGTTATAACCCCATAATATATTGTTATAATTTTAGCATATATATTTTTTCTTTCATACAGAGTCTCACTCTGTTGCCAAGGCTAAAGTGGAGTGGTGTCATAGCTCACTGCAACCTTGACTCCTAAGCTCGAGTGATTCTCTTTCCTCAGCCTCCCAAGTAGCTAGGACTAGAGGCATGCACTATCATGCCAACCTAATTTTTCTTTTTTCTTTCTTTCTTTTT